TTAAACAAAAGTTAAAAAAATATTTTTTTTATTAAATTTAAAATATTCGTGTTTGATAAATAAAAATTAATTAGATACTATTAATTATTATAATTATTTTTCATAAGAAAATTAATATGAATCGCGTAAAAAATAATTAAAACTATAAATACAGGACTAGCTAATAATTTTACACTTACCCATCTAGAAGATTAATCCTGATACACCTAACAACCTAGAAGATCAGTCACTTATTTAGTCTTATGAATCTTATTAATTTGTTAAATTTTTTCCTATAGTCTTATGATCGTCTATATTTGTTAAGTCTTAAAACATGTGATAACTTAAAATGTGTGTTGGAGTGTGTGTTTAGTCTTATACATCTCATAGTTTTATGAAGTTATTTTATTTAATTATATGTTTAAAATTTAAGTCCTTACAAATACAATTATATTAAAAACTTAAGAAAAAGTTATCTCATATTAACATACCAGATTTCCTCATATCTTTGCAATCCAACATTTACATTCTGACTTAATCATAAAGTACAATGTAATTAATGAATACCATGCTGCAGTAAGATTTATTACATCTAATAGTATAACTCTCCTCACTATTAATTTGTATTCAAAAATATTAAATAAGATTATTGACTTAAAAAAGAAAAAATCTATTATTAAAAAAGCTACCGAATATCTAAATACCTGTTTTCAATTGTATCTCTTAATTTTTATTTTACAGCGATAACAAATTATTCTCTGTTATTCTGTTTAATATGGACAAAAAATTTAAAAATAATTATTTTTTAATTTTCTTTTAAAAAAATATGTAAAATTAGTTTATATATGAGAGCTTAACAGTTTAAGAAAGTTTGGTTTTGGTGGCGTGTGTGGGGCATCTTCTTCTCTTGGGTTTGTTTGCGTTGTTGGAAAGCTTAGGTGGTTTTTGCGTCTCATAAAATCGAATCGGATATATAAGCATTGAAATTGGTTCCATCACCGAAAGAAACGGAGGCATTTCCATTTCCCTAACCCATTTGCAAAATCCCAAATACCCTCTCACCAACCACTATGTTGCAGAGACCCAGACGTCGTTGCGAGGGCACAGCCATGGGCGCTATCGTCCTCGATCTCCGACCCGGTCTTGGAATCGGACCCTTCTCCCTCGGTACTTATCCCCTCTTTTTCTCATTACATTCCAATTCGCTCTCGCTTTTTTAATTCAATAACAATCCAATCCGTTTTTCATGATCTACTCCTTTTTCGATTGCTTCTTAATGTAAACTTAGGTCAAACAGACGCTAATTTTGCCTTTTCGTATTTTGACCGTTGAGCTTATCGCATATTCAATCAAAGTCGTGTCACGTTGCTCAATTCAATACTCAGCTTATTTGACGATTGAGTTATCCCGTCATGATGTGAGTTTTGATACTGTGTTTACTGACTTGGCTTCTTGTCGTTGTTTAGGGATGCCTATATGTGAAGCTTTTGCTCAGATTGAACAACAGCCTAATATATACGATGTGGTGCATGTAAAGTATTTTGACGAGGTTTGTCACATATGCTCGTGATTTTACATATTTTCATTTGTGTTTCCTATGATTGTTGTGTAAACTTAACGAGTAATTGACTGTCTGTCTGCACTGGGCTGGCTATTATGGGTGGCTTTGCCTTTGCGCGGCACCTGTTGTTTTATTTTGTAACTTGTAAGAGACGTATTTATATTTATCTTGAGTTTTCTACTTTATATGTTTGCAGGAACCTCTAAAGTTGGACATTGTCATTAGCTTTCCGGATCATGGCTTCCATCTTCGTTTTGATCCATGGTCTCAGGTGTTGTATTTACCCTTCTCACTGCCAATGATTGGTTTATTCTTGTGTGTCTATACCGTATAGAGTCCATATTTGAAGAAATCAGGAGATGCTGTGAATCAATTAATGAAAATTTGTTTTGTCTTTAATGGTGAATAACTATCCAAACACTACTAGATAAGTTGAACATGTATTTGAAAATGCAAATTCAGAAAGTGTGTAAGGAGTTCCTGTATAAGGATCTTGATAACAGTAATAATGATAATGAATAATTGTATAAGGATCTTGTAGTACTTGCTCTGGGAAAATGAGAACTGTTGTATTAGCACAGTTTAAAATTAACTATCCTTTCTTCTCCAAGTTAATTGGGGTATATTATACAGAGTTTTGGGCTTTTTTCTACACTAGTTCTGTTTCTTTTGTTACAATAACATGCTCCTTTTTAACAAGATGATACCATGCCTGAGGATTTGCATTGTTTTAAACCTAAATACCTGTTATTATTGCTCTGTTCAAAAGTAATGGAGTATTTTCTAATTTCTTTTGCTTCTTCTCAAAGATCTAAAGCTCTAATACCTTTGAATGCACCAGTTCTTATGCTTTCAATCATTTTAAGCTGTATTATAGTGCCTGTATTTATGGGTGCCTTTTGATGACTAAATGACTCTGTCATGATGAAATGTTTCATTGCTATTTTAGAGACTGCGCCTTATTGAAATATTTGATGTAAAGCGACTTCAGATGCGCTATTCTACTTCTCTGATTGGGTGAGTATCTGGACTTGTAATTTTAGTATCTATTTATTCTAAAGCACTATTGATGTTTTTTCCCTACTTTTAGGGGACCTTCAACGTTGGCTACTTTTGTTGCTGTATATGCACTGTTTGGGCCCACGTATCCTGGAACTTTTGATAAGGATAGAGGCATTTACACCTTATTCTATCCGGTACATATTTTGGATGTCAAATGTTTATCTATTGCCTTGTTTTTGTTCTAAAATTCCACATTAACAATGGTCTCTGTTTTATCCTTTTGGTTTGGTCTTTAGGGGCTTTCCTTTGCATTTCCTATTCCTAGTCAATTTACAGACTGCTGCCATGATGGGGGAGGTATTTATTATTTCATCTTGAAAAGGAAATGTTCTGATTTTTCTAATTCAAATATGTTAAACCTTTTCTCTTTTAATTATGTCAGTTGAATTGCCATTGGAGTTTCCAGACGGGACAACTCCTGTCACATGCCGTGTCTCTATATATGATAGCTCCTCTGGTAAGAAGGTTGGCGTGGGTTCCTTGATGGATAAGGCTTCTGCTCCACCTCTACCTGCTGGCAGCATATACATGGAAGAGGTCCATGTTAAGGTTTGATTTCTCTAAACCCTATATCAGTTTTAGCTTATCTAGAATGGCACATTGAGTTGGCTTCATTTTAGAGTAACTTTTTGCCTGATTTGGCAAGGTGGTCTATTGGCATCTAATTCTATTCTTTCCCTGTTATATAGCTGGGGGAAGAATTGTACTTCACAGTTGGCTCGCAACATATTCCTTTTGGTGCATCTCCACAGGTAAACTTTGTTACATGCAATTGAAACCATTTGAGATATGCTTTTAGTGGAAGATTTTCCTGTGCTTTCTGTTGCTTCTTTTGTTATCGTCCACTTGATTCATATTCTTTATCTTAACCAAAGTTTATGATGTAGGATGTGTGGACTGAGCTTGGACGTCCCTGTGGCATTCATCAAAAGCAGGTACCCATACCATAATTACTAATTTTAAAATGGAACATGATTAATGTGTAGAATTTTGGTGGAATTAAACTGTTATATGTTGCAGGAATGTCTAGAGTACCCAGCTCTCTCTGTGCATTAATGATTTGGGGTACTGTGGAAATTTGGATTTATGAAATTTTTCACAATTATGCTATTGAGATTCTGGTGTACACTTCTTGAGTTTGTCTTCAACATACAATTCTATTTTAACTTTTTTTTCCCGACTATTTAATTTTAACCTGACAATATCTTTTATCGTTAATAATGGATCATATGAGGACCTAGGCAATTGATTGTATCATGTTTTAGAATACACCTTTGTTAATTTGGTTGAGGGTAAAAGAGAGAGGAAATAAATAGGCGGTAGGAAAATTAATGAAAAGAAGAATTTCTGCTGTTTGGATGGATGGGTGAAAAGTGTAAACACAATACTTTAGAAGGTTTTGCTAGGTCCCCCATGATACATGCAATGTAGTTGACGACTTCTTTTGGGGTAACTATGCAGTTGACAAGTTCTAAATACTAAGAAATGCAGGTCTAAACCGAAGTTATCAAGATAGAGCTAGCAGTCAAAAGAAAATCTGCAGCTAAATATTTCTTGTAATTTTGTTAGTTATATTCTTCATGGAGAAGTTTTAATTTTCACCAAATATATATATTTATATAAGGAAGCTTGAATTCTTCCTTGAGCATAAAGCAACTTAATAATGTTTTGAAAAGTTTTGGTTTGAATTAAGTCTGACTATTAATCCTAATTCTGTAGGTAGATCAAATGGTTATTCATTCTGCCTCAGATCTTCGGCCACGAACAACTCTATGTGGAGATTACTTTTATAATTATTTTACTCGTGGTCTTGACATACTATTTGATGGACAGGTTTGTAACTTACATCATGCTTTTGTTTCTATACACAGTGACACAACTGATAATGGAAGCTCCTACTTGTCTGTTGTATTTTCAGACTCACAAAATCAAGAAGTTTGTGTTACACACCAACTACCCTGGACATGCTGATTTCAATTCTTACATTAAGTGCAACTTTGTTATCTATGGCTCAGATTGTAAGCAATCTTTTATATGCATTACAGTGTTTAGTTTGGTCTTGATGCAACAGGTATGTAAATCTATGTTGTTAAATATGATAAAATCTATTTTTGGCCTTTCCAGCTGTAGGGGGTTCTTTTCAGGAAGTAAATAATAGCAAACAGAGGGTTATTACACCTAGAACCAAATGGGAGCAAGTGAAGGTGATCTTCTATCTTTTCCAAATTATATGGTTGCCCTTATATTGGATAACCTTTGAGTTATTAATTAATACTTGAAATATATGAAGCAGTTTGGGAAATAAAAATTGGGATTGGCTTCTGATGTGGATTTCTTATAATGAATTAATATACATTTATATCATATCATAGTTTGCGATTGATATTTTTAGGAAATACTTGGGGATTGTGGGCGAGCTGCCATACAAACACAGGGTTCTACAAGTAACCCCTTTGGTTCTACTCTTGTTTATGGTTATCAAAATATTGCCTTTGAGGTGTGTCCTTTGTACTTGGTGTTCCGCTACTTTATTAGTGTAGTCCACCATGATTCCTTGAAGAGATCACTGATACTCTAGTGATGTTAACAGGTGATGAAGAATGGTTATATTGCAACAATAACTCTCTTCCAATCATGATGATGCTACATTTCTTTCATTGTGAGTTCTTCTATGTAAATTTATACCTTATTCACATAGCAAGTAATAACCTTAATTTTGCCCCCTTAAATTTTGGATATTTTTTCAGTCTGAAAAAATCCAATTTTAATTCCTAGCAGCCAGTGTTAAATCATTATCTTCATCTTTCCAGCTTCAGTCATGGTAATCCTTTTTTTGTCAGTCAAGTTTATGTACTATGTTAGACCTGGGTCTTGCTCATTTTTCATCCAAGTCCAGTTATAATTTTTTCTAATTGGGTTCTTAAAAGTTATGAATTGTTTCGAATTGGTTGCATATTGTAACCAACACATTTACTCATCTATAAATTTAGTGAATGATGTGGTAAATGGAGAGCTCGTGATTACTCATACCATTGGTTTGCGTGGATCCAAGTTGGCCAAATTAGCCCATCCACCCTCTTGACCCTTCTCATGACTTGTGAGGGAAAAATATCATGTATCAGTGCTCTTTTCACGAAGAGGGAAATGGATCATTTGGCCCCCAGTTAAAAGTTATAACATGTTTGAGATACACAATTCTTGCAGAGGTTCACGCATTTTCCTTGGTATTTTCATGTTCTTTGGGAGTGCTTCGCTGAAGAAAATTTTATATTTTCTAATCAATGCTCGTTTGAGAGAATTCAAAACAAACATGATTTAGTCTTTGCAGATGATGTTTAACGATGATACTCAAATGAGAAACATTTGATAATTTTAAGGATTTAATTAGAAACACCTTCAACTAACTGACTAAATTAAAAAGCTCGGGAACCTGTAGGCATCAACATAGTATGCGTTTTTATTGGTGACAACACTTGGACTTACGAGTCTTTTTGCACTACTACAGGCCCTTTTGGTTACTCTTAATCTCTCCCTATTGTTCAAAGATTTCTAAAGCTTGGCTAGGGAAATACGGGAGTAACAGGCTGGTTTGTCCGATCACTGTATAAATAGTTCTGCCTTCCTGCCTTCCATCATCATTATCGTCGTAAGGGGTAAGGGGCCATGCCAATTGTACAGCTTTGTAACAAATTGTACATATTAATATCCTGTTTTATAATGTTATTTTCTAACTATTTACTATATTAAATTAATGTAATATATTTGTTTTGCTTTGCCTTTCAGTGTAATCAGATCCTCAATTATTTTTCATGCTGTATATATAAATCGTTCTCTGATTCGTAAAAATCTCAACAGTATTTGAGTCAATTGAATTTCAAATCAATTAGACCGATAGAATTTGTTTGACGATTCTCGATCTATTTCAGACAACCAATTTTACAAATTAATTAGAATAATATTATGACTGTTTAGAGTTTGGCGAGTGAAGACTGAAGAAAAGATAGCATCCGTGGAACATGTCTTGTTTTACGTCTTGAGAAAAATTTGAGCCATTTATTTGTATACATCATAAATAAATCATGTAAAATTCAACACAACCTATTAAATAACTAAATAATTAATTAATTTACAATTTTTTCAACTAAATTGACCTAGTTTTATTATTTGTCACTACACGTAAAAAATTTCCCCTACTTATAAAGAGTAACGTGTCACGCATAAGGAATTCTAGCATCATATCAAAATATATTTTCAGCGTATTGTCGTATAAAGCCAAATTGGGGATGTCAGCGGCAAATAAAATTCGAAGTGTTCGTATCAATCCCCAAATAATCATCATCACGATTATTAGTCACCATGTAAGATAAGACTTGGCCTTAGCGCTAATAAATAATAATTATCTTATTTTTGGCTCTTTAGAACCATCAATATTTATGGAGTCGTATACATATATAGAAAGAAAAAAAACCTTTGTTTCCACTTTCCTGCTGTATTTGTTTTGACCATCCTTTTTGTTGTGGCCGGGTAATGTCACATCAAATGTTACGATAAGGAGGCAAAGTTAGGTTACTACACCCAAAACACTCTGCAACTGTTACTATTACATCCTCAGATTTGAATAACATGAATAAATAACATTGTTATTATTAAAATGTTGGTTTTCTCTGCGTCTATGTTAACAAATTTATTTACAATGTTGGTTTTCCCTGCAACTCTATGTATTTATAGTAACATTGTAACAACTTCCAAAATACATAGGGTTGATGTTCATATAAGATCTTCACACTTTTTGAGAAAAAAAAAATGGCCCCTGCTTCTGTCCTCAAATCAACACCAGTTCTAAACAAGTTATCATTGGCCCATCTACATTGGTGGTGAAGGAAGCAGCATGGGGTCTAGCCATAGTTTTAAAAACCGGACCGGTCATCGAACCGGTTAAGGTACTGGGCCAGTGAGTCAAAGGTTGAACCGGTGGGTTACTAGTTGAACCGCGTAAATTTTAATAAATTCATATCTTATTTTAAATTTTAATTTTTCTATCTTATTTAAAATTATTTTTATTTTTATTTTGTAAAAAAATACATAAAAAATTACATGTTAAACGGTATATTAATACAAATTAAAAATATAAATAATATGTACATATATAATATGCTTGCAATTAATATTACAAAATAATATATGTAATATTTACATAGATATTATATTATTAAATATATAATTTAAAATTAATAATATACTATAAAAGTTATTTAAGTTGTATATATTACAAACAAATATATTAGAACAAGTAATTATTGTTATATTTAATAAGACTCCTTGCTTTTCTATTAAGAGATTCAATTTTCATTATTATTTTTGTGGTTTATGGTCCCTTAAAAAATTTTAAAAAAAAAGTGGTTGAACCGGTTTGACCCACCGGTTCACCGGTTGAACCGAAAAATTAACCGGTTCAATCCGGTTTGAAACGGGTCGACTGCATAACCGATCCAACTTAAGATTCGAACCGGCTAGACCACCGGTTCCCGGTCCAACCGGCCGGTCGGTCCGGGTTTTAAATCACTTGTCTAGCACGCCCAAATAGATATTTTAATGTTAGAATACCAGAATCATAAATATGCATTTTATTTTTGAGGTGTTGGTGCTTGCTGACAAAGCAACCATTATTTTGCAGGACAATAGGTTGGTTGAACCACAGATCCTGCTTCATGGAATTGACACGACTTTTAGAGTGACACACATGATCTTCAATCTAGCAGAGAACAGTTCATCTTCATTTGAAGGAATTCTCTAGAACCAAGCATGGTATCTCCTGGTGCAGAGTCCATGGACAAGTCACAAGGCTATAATAAGATATAACTAAATTTAACACAAAAGGACTCCTTGAACAATCATTTGAAAAAATCATTGTGCTAGGATCCTACAGCCTTATTTGCACATGCACACTCGATACTCTTCTATCATCCATATCCTAATTTTTTGAAGCTTCAAGGGCCAAGTTCGTATACACCACGATATATTTTCATTTACTACATGCAATGCCATGTATCATATAATAAATTCACAAGATTTAGAGTCAGCAACAAAAGACATCTCATGACATCTAAATATAAATCATTTACCTCTAATTTCGCTCAAATTGCCATAAAATTATATACTTTTCTTGGACAGTGTCATTGATCATTAATTACTGATATAAACCAGTATCTCAACCTGATTCACAATCAGTGAAATTTATTTCGGTAAACATTCACATGCTTAGGCATTCTACGTACAATTTGAATTTTAGCAACTAATAAATGAACTAGATCAAATTTTATACTAGATTTATGCTTCTTTAAGCCATATAACTTTTTACTAGTTTCTTACTATATTACTTTAGTGACTTCATTTCTGACAAATTGAGATTTGATCTTTATCTTAAATATAAAATTACAATCAAAATTATTATTTTACTTCTAAAATGGACAGATAGTTACAATAATTATTTTTTCTTCTAAAATATTGTTAATTAATTCAAAATAAGCAAATATAATAATAAATGTTAAAAATTAATGAGATAAACTTTTTACCCAAGATTGGTGAAGATGAGTAGACACATAATTTCAAATATTAATTAATTATGTGAGAAACATTTTTAATCGGATACGGCGGTAAATATATTTGCATTTGCATCATGACAATCATGGAGAAACTGTTGATTGTACTATGTCTATAAAAAGAAGAGGAGGAGGAGGTTGAAGTAGAGAAGGATAAAGCCTTGTTTTAGGGGGCGTTTGATTTGTTAGCGTTTAACAGCAATATGCATGCAAGACCCACAAATCATGGGAATTACCATATATCCATATTCTTGGTTGGGTATCTTTTGGGCATGTGGAATAAGGAATCATGAGTTTGACAAAGACAGCGAGGTAAACACCTTCTAAGGTAACTAGTCCATTAGTAGCCAAAATAAAATGTGAGGTAAGATAATTGGCGTTTAGAGAAGGAGATGTAGCAGCGCAGCGTGGGGAACGGAAGCAGCATGAAACACGACATCATCGTTCTATGTCTCATCCTCGTTTTCCACTCGATTCTCTCCATTCACCGCCGCCCACGTTTTCCTAGCCGTGAAATGCTGCTCATTTCAAAAGGAAAAACAACTTTACTTTTTTTTTTTTTTCATTAAAAAATATTTTTACTTTTTAAAGATTTATATAATAAATAAAGAAAAAAACATACTTTTACTGTTTTCACTAAAAAAAATTTAATAAATTAAAAATATAGTAACAATTTTATAATTGAAAATAAAAAATATTCAAAAATATTTTCTGAGTGCAAATATGCCTTAAAATGCATATACCAAATTTCACCCAAGAAAAAATAATAATAATAAAATATAATAATTGTATGATAAAAATATTAAGATAAAATATGTTTATAAGAGTGTTCAAATTTTTTTTATTAAATTTTATTAAACTTATAACTTAATTTGATTAAAATAATTTGGATTAAGTTAAATTTGTGTAATTTTTTTTTGTTTTTGTCAAACTTTACCCAAATCAATAATGGGTTGATTTATTGGATAAGAAAAATTAAAATTAATTATACTATTCTTTTATCGACCATTATAATAGTCTTTCAATATCATTAAGGATACCATTTTTAAAGTTTCTTTTTATTATTATCATGACCACCATCCTCTATTATACTAATACATAAATGGGCATAACAATATTATTAATATAATTTTGTTATTATCATGATAATAAAGGATTCTTAAAACAACTCACAAAAACTACAAACTCAACGTAATTTCAATCTTAATTCTGATCATTAAAATCCAATCTCAAGAACAAGTTATTAAATGAAGTAACAAAAAATTAATCTAAAAAAAATAAAACCCTTTCAAACACATACGCACACGAAATAACTAAAAATTACTCGTGAACTAAATTTCTCACACACGCATGTACTGAAGTAAGTAAATTCTTCACACATGCACGTACACACAAAATAATAAATGTATTAACAGGGAATTGAAAATATTTTATTAACATTTCTTATGCAGGAAATGAAGCCCACTATCAATAGCATTATTAATTAATCCATTTGTAATATTACCGACAATATTTGTCTGTGTTGACAAAACAATCTCAATCATATATCTTCATATAGAATCCCCAAATAGTATTATGAATCACACATGCATGCATTTGTTATTCAACAAAACAATTTTTGTCACGTACCTCTGTTCTATGGCCTCTATCTCTTGAAAGCTGCCTTATTTGTCTTCAGTGCTCTAACTTCTATTGCATGGCATCGAGTAACATGAGCTTGCGCATAGTAAATCTTTAATTCAATCATTTAACAATGGAACTTACCTCCTCTAAGTAATTAAAGATAAGATAGAATTTCAATAGTTGATAATCAATAATTGATATTATTTTAGTATTAGTTTGCTTAATTTATTCTCTAAGCTGATCTATTAACCTTGAAAAGTTTTATTATTATTATTATTATTATTATTTTTTATGATGATGCACCGCTAATGTAAAAAGTTTTATATAATCAATTAATTAGAAATAATAATTTGTATAACTTATAAACTAATCATCGTAAAAATTAAAAAACTTATATTTATGATGAATTGTGATTGAATAGCAATGTAAATCTTAAATCTTAAAACTGTTTTACATCGTCAGTACATCACTATTAAATCCTTATTTTTATGTTATTTAAATAAACATTCATTTCATCTTTTTTAATAAACTGATACATGTTATTTTAATTTCAAGCAACTCACTTAATTGTTATTCTAATGGAAGTTTTTATTAAAAAATTTGCTTGACTCACAAACTATTTTTTTCTTTTCTACATGCATACATACAAAATTACAAATGTTAAACAACTCACGAAATAATTTAAACAAGTAACCCAAAATCACAATCACATGGAGCACACTAAACTAGTATTTTATTGTTAAATAACCTAAAAGTTATTTCTATCTATTGGAAATGCTCTTAAGAGAGTTTGAATCCTTCAAATAAATGAATAATATTATTTATATAATATTTTTATTTGTTATATTAATTATTTTATCTCATACCTTCTCTCTCTTTTAAAATAAAAATTCTCTTGACTACATAAAAAATTATAATATAAATTATTTTTAAAAATTATAGTACACTTTATAAATTAGTAATTTAAATTTTTTGTTACTAAATTATTTTACCATATTAAAGTGTGATTAGATTTATTGGGAATATTCTTACTTTATTTTTTGATACCAATAAATCTCCTTACTTCAAAGTATTAAGGTTGACTTTTTGTTGAAAAATATTCTATACTAAAAAATATATTATATTATATTATATTAATTGACATAGATAGATATAGAAATGATAAATTGATACATCATATAATTTTTTTAGACAAATCATAATGAATCGAATAAAAATAATTTATTAATTCATTTACATTTATTAAAAATTTACATACTAATCCAATTCATTTAAGATAAAAAAAAATCCAATTAATCTATCCATTAACATTTTTTTCATGGATGAATATCTAATCTATTCATAAAAATAATTTTTAAAAATTAAATAATTTTTTATTTTTAAAATATTTTATTTTTCTCTCTTTCTTTAAAGTCATATCATTTTTATATAATCTTTTAAAATTTATAAAACTTTTTTCTTTTTATGTCAAATTAGTCATTTAAATCTCAATTTAGTAAACATCTTATATTGTAATCCAATAAATTTTGAATAAATAGTGGATGAATTACTAACCATACATAAAATTAAACAAATGGATTGATTTTTTTTTTTGGTAAATTGATGAAAGATAAAAAAATAAAGGAAAACGAGATTACAAATTGACGAGGAATCAACTCTTAAGGCCATAAATACGAAACTAGGACCCTCATGTACTAACCCGACCTACGACCTCAAGAAGTTGTACCCCGACACGACGGTATAGCAACCAAAAGGATCACCCCTCCAAGCAAAAGAGTCCACTCCAGCCTTAGAAGACGGAATCTGTACCTGCTGAATACTATCTCGTAGTACTTGAGGGAGAACTGTGTAGAGGAGCGACCAATTCCATGTGCCCTGATCCCAAAAGTGATTGACACACTTGTCTGAGTCACTAATATGCACAAACTGAACAAAATTACTGAGCTTTCCTATGCCCAGCCAATCATCAAACCACATGGAGGACCTCCCATCCGCCAAGTGAGGCCTATAGCCCTCACGGAGTACCTCAACAGCCTTCATGATACTCGACCACACTGGAGAAGACCCCACAACCTTAGTAGCACTAAAAATGGATTCGTCAACTAAGTATTTCTGTCGATATAGTACCACCCATGGCTTCTCTGGGTACTGCACAACATCCCAAATTAATTTTCCAAGCAAAGCTGTGTTCATCCCACGAGCATCGCGAATGCCCAACCCACCATCCTCCTTAGGTGATGAGATGATCTCCCAATCAACTAAAGCCCAAAACCTGGATTAAATTTAATCTATTATTTATCTTTATCATAATAACTAAATTAAATAAATTTACTTATAAATAAATAAAATAAATAATATCTAAATAGATTTATCTGTCGTCTCTTAAATAAACATAAGAAATAGTTACATCTTTAAATACGTTGACAGGGATTTAGTTTCTTACTATGAGTGTAAGAAAAACTTTATTGATAGAGGAAAAAATTAATTTAATAATTTTATCTTATACATTGCATATGATATGTTAATTTTATTTTTAAAAGAAAAAATATAAAATAATCATAATGTGTAAAATTTAAAAGATACGGATAAGTTTTTAAGGAGATAATGGATTGTATTTAATTTCTGAAGAAGGGGAACAATTTTTGTGATATATAAAATTGGAGAGTCAGTCCATAAGCACGGTCAAGAAAATCGATACTCCATCTTTAGTGGCTTTAGGTTGGAAAGCACTTTATGCGCGTGCTATCATTCCAACATTTCTATAACTTTCAAATTCAACCACTTTACTCCAGGTTACACATCTTTATTCATTTTGTCATCACATCTGCTTCTGTCATTTTATTTAAAATCAATCAATATAAGTAAATATTAGTTATTCAATTATTATTAGATTACACATATATGAATGTCTTAACTATTTAAAGTTTGATATGTATCCATACTTATTTTTAATAAAAGATACTTCGTTTAGTATACACAAATTTTAAACTAATTTCCTTTTATAATAGTTTTTAGGTTTTTTTTTCTTCTTTGATTATCTTTTATTTATTTTCTCTTTTCTCTACTTTAACCATATTAAGTTTCTAAATCTCTCTCAATAAATAACTGTTCATTTTTTTTAAAAAATCTTTAAATAACGATTATAAAGATAATATCACATAATTTAATAGTAAAATTGAAAGAAAATAAATCATTTTAATTTAAATATTAAAAATATAATTTTACAAAATTTAGTTTTCGTCCTCTTAAAGTTAATCGATTTCTACAATGGCATTGGGCCTTTGTACTTCTCGTTTACACACATACGCGAAAGAAAGAAAAAGAAAATACATTGGAAAAGTTAGTACTTTATTTTCTATTTTCTGAAGTTTGTATGTGTACTGGGAGTATGCACACCTCGATCAAATTCAACACCAAACACACCCCTTCAACCTTGACAATGATTGAGGGGTAACCAAAACCAAAGGACTAACCGAACACCCCCTTCAGCTAAAGGCCTGACCGAAGGGGGTACTCGACGCCTCTTGAACAAGGCAAATCAGGATAGGTGATTAAACAGTGCTTACCATGCTTAATTAATTAACATTAAGGCTAACCAAAAGACACAAATCTCTAATTACCCATATCCCAAGACAGAAGGTCTATCAGGCCCAAAAGGTCTATCAGGCCCAAATACGTCACTATTACGTAAGTAATGGTACAGAAAAAGGTACAATCATTTAATACGGTATTCAACTTTGCTCTATACCGAATACTTACTTGAGCGTCGGGGTACTTTTTGCTGGTACCATCCTCTCATTAGAGGGCTAATTGAAGTCAGTATTCGAGACTTTGAAGACCAACGAAAAGAAGAGACAGGAGGAGTGTTTATGAGCAGAAAGAGTATGTTGACATTTTTTTTTATTTTTCTATTTTCACTTGTTATATACTTTTCTGAAAACAGGAAACAAAATAGAAAAAAAAAAGAAAATTAAAATAGAAAATATTTTATTGAACAACAGTCTCTTAGACAATTACTCTATCGATAAATATTTTAAGATCTCAAGTTAAATTAAAGGTTAAAAGAATTAAAATAAAAGAAAATGCTTGTACTAAATGAATGATTTACTATAAACATAAATACTCTATTATATCTCTTAGGGACTGATGGGTTAAAAAAAAAGTAGAGAAGAAATATATTTTGACCAAACATGAATTTGGTTAGAAAGAGAAGAGAAATATATATTTTCCTTGTTTGTTTAAGATAGAAGAAAGAAAACTATATAAATACCATCATATCCTTATAATTTTGGATATCAAAACATAAGTAAAAATATATTACTCAATATACTTGAAATGTTATAAATTTTCACCCTCTAAATTTTCTAATACCGGAGGATAACAAATATCGAATGATGAATTTTGTTCTATTTTCTCCGAGTAATTAACACAATATTAACATATCAATTTTATCACCAAAATTTATACCATAAAAATAGTTATTGATTTTAAAAACCAATCTTACCTCAATTTTCTTAAATATAAAAATATGGTAGGTCATGGAGAGTATCTAGTGTTAGTATTCAAGTGTGTACATTGAATAATGTAATTTTTATTTTATTATATATACTAAATGATTTCAATAATTAAAGCAAACATAAAAATATTGAAAATTAATGTAAGTGGTGTTTGCATCCGTACAGGTACGGTAACTATATATCCGTCCAAGTCTAACACAGATGATTTGGTTCCCCGAATGGTCGAGAAGACGAGAAAGCATTCATAGCCGCGAAGGTCTTTATCATAGAATACAAGTTAAATCATCATGCATAGTGACTGAGGCGTAAAGGTGCTCAATTATGCACAAACCAAAGCTGGAAACAACTCTTCCTAGTACTTCCTAATCCTACCTATCATCTATGCCTCAAACAAGCTATAATTTCAACCATCAAATATGGTTTGGCTCATTGTCGCATTCTATTTAAAAATAAACAAATAAAAACTCTTTTCCCCCTGAATTTTCTAGGGGACGTAATGCCATACAAAACTGAAGCCAGAAACAAAAGTCAACAGTCAACACACAATTCATTGAAAGTTATCATAGATATACAGTTAACAATGCTTTGGAATACAGATATTATGTGTTGAACTACCAAATTAAATTCCTACATAGGCCAACAAACTCCTCAAAAGACTTTGGTGCCTCATTTGCCACAACAGGATGCTAACAGAGCATGTCATCCTTGTGACTAGCATGCATGAGAACAAAATGAAGCTTTCTAGATTTTTGCTGTAGGATACTGTCAGAACTGCATTTCCTAGTTGCATCATTTATGGCTGCAAAGAAAGAAAGAAAGAAAAAAAAAAAAAAAAAAGCATACCTTAGAATCATATTATCAGTTCACATCATAACAAGGATGTGATTAGCACACATATTACAACTTACAAGGTTATGAAGTTGAGCGAAAAGGGGGAAGGGGGTGTTCAATTATGAAAGATATCATGGTTCAGATCAACTCTTTAACCAGATGTAGTTTAAGTTTTATTACTGAATACCTGCTTCAGAAGGAAGCAATATGTAAAAGTTCAAAATAAATTTCATATTACTTAAGGGTATATCTGAAGAATTCTCAAACCCACAATTACAAGTACATATCAATATTGGCCTTGCAATGTTAATTTCTGCAGGTTGGTGCTGTAAAGGATTATTACATCCACGAGACCAGAAGATGCTCCTTCAAGTAAGGCTGGACATTTGATCCCACAAGACAAATTTAGCAATCACATCACATCACATTTCAATGAGTTCCATATCCCAATCACAACTATTTGAACAAGTTTACTATATTTAATGTATTAAGGATGAATTTAACACCACTAATAACCATATTTTAATGAGATGGATTTGGACTAATAGGGTTAATAGTTTCAGTTTGCAAGTATTTGCAGAATCTCACTTAAGTGAAACAAACCTTCACCAGAAAATAAATTTCTAACTAGGTAGACAAAAATTACTTCCATGCACTCTAACCTGATTATTTGATGCTTGTTCATGTATTCTATTAGGCTTCATGTTCAAATCAATCATTTTGGTTTCCATCTTGGTATGGCCATCAGCATCAGGTCCTGGCGTTGGAACCATAGGCATCCTGTGATTTTGTTGCTTCTCTCCCATTTTTAGTTTGGGAAGTGGATTTTGCCCTCTTTTAGCCTCACCTGGTTCCAGTGGTTGTGAACCCGGATTTTCACCATGACTAGATTTGTCTCCTGGAAACTATGGAACAAGTAGATATTACACATTTTGAGGTAACCCAAAAGTATATCAAGATAACAAATGAGTGAACCCCTACTTTAATCCTTGACTTTGCAAGTTATTATTCACTACAATTTTCACTAACAATAAAAGTGAATGGCATTTTACAATATAGTTCTTTATCTTCAGTTGAGAAACTCTCAAAAACACTAATAATTTGCATCTAAATAGGCTTTAAAGCAACCAACACAAAAACACTTATAAGTTGTAACTTGTATACAAACATACTCTAAAGCAGCCAACAATTAGGATCTTGAGCTAGAATGTGGGTTTACTCAGTGAACAAATTCATGTTGGAAAGGAGAGGCTAACTCACCTCAACTCTCTGCCTAAACAGAAGATATCTTCCATGCGTTCTTTTACCTCCAACATGAACTAACATATCACACTGCAAACAAAGGGAACTTCCATCTGTCTCGCAATAGAAGAAAGCTACATCCAGATTGAAAGGGCAAACATATAAGCAATAGGTATCATAAGAACACTAAAAGGACAGAAAGAGGAAACTTCCTACCAGGCGCATTCTCACATATGTCACACCGTGGCACATCACTTGGACTTGCAAGACCAACCCTCACATGCCTACTAGCTAGCTTATTGCACATGTGAACCTGTGAGCTCCAAAAGATTAATCTCCGACCCGTTGCTTGAAAAATGTTGACCAGAACAAGCAACACCAAATTAAAATAAAAGCAAGCTCGAATTCCCAATTTACACAATACCACAAAAAGATAAATCGGATCGAAGCATATCTATGAAGCTAGAGGGTCAAGGTCAACCTGCAAGCCCTTCAATTTGTTACCCCTTACATGGACTTCTCTAAGATTTCACTATTGCTACATTACCATGAAACATCATAATTGTTCCACACTTTTAGAAGCATCAGATCATAACATTAAAGTCAGTGATCTAAACGATACAGCAACACATAATCACAAAAATGAGCAGCAGAAAGAAATCACCAAAGAAAGATCTCAGAAGACAGCGATGAGATGAGACACTATTGGAGACAGAAAGTACCTTCTCATCACAGGCACGGCAAAGTGCAGCCTCATCAGCGGCGCAGAAAACTATAGCCGCCGCACTCTCACAAGCATCACAAAGCGTTCGCATAATTGTACTCTCTCACTTTCATTGCTTCATCCAACAAATACAAAGAAAGTTAAAGTGATACACAGAACAAGAATATTATATTATTTATTATATGTATGTGTTTAATTATATATTATCTAATATGAAGATAAAAAGAGAGGGCAAAACACAGCACAGAAGAAGACAGGTTTTATACCAAATCCATGTGGGTATATGATAGTTTTGTTTTTCTCTCTATGTTACTGAGGGAGGTGGAGGTGGTGGTTGATGACGATGATGATGGGGAAGGACTATGATTAGAGTGTAGGATAAAAGAGAGGATTTTGAAGGGAGTGGGGGACCTTGGGGGTTGATTCCAGAACTTTGCATAGACACAATAAATGAGTGTTTGTCAACTATGTTGGCCTCAAACGTTACTTCGTAGCCACAAGTTCAAAGCCAATGTGGTGTTGACAGCAACTCAAGCTTCATTCTCATCCACCAATTATTTATCTGACATGGGTCCCACATTCTTCTAGTGTTTATTGTTGCCAAGCTAACCTTGCCTTTCCAGCCACAAGCAATGAAACGAATCTTAACTCTTCATCTCTTTCTCTCTGCACTCCATTTTTCTGCTCCCACCTGCATAACTTGTTTACGTAGTTTACTCAAATTCCAATGTGCCTACAATTACAAATCCACCACACGCTGACGCGTGTCTTTTTGGTTTCATAATATTTCCTACCATTTCTCGTGCAACCAGCTTTTTGCATTTTAGTGAAAATATGCAACATTCAACAAACTCCTCGTATGTGTAGTTGGGTAAAATGAAAGTACAAAACTAAAGTATCATATTTCAAGTTTTATTATTAAATATATCAACGAATATTAACGAAATAAAATTTTAATTTTGATCGGAAAATATATTAAAAAAAAGTACTGTATTTAAATTTTGTAGATAAAAAACAAAGAGAGAGAGAGAGAAAGACTTTGATAGTGTTGGCAGTCCATAATTAGAAGGAGAAATAGGACATTAAGAATTTCCCAAATAGAAGAAGAAGTGGACTCGGGATTTATGATCCTGCTTGTCTTTAATACCTCTAATGTTATTGCTCTACATATCATCACATGGTTCAGAAGTTCAGTCAATTTAGGCCAAGATTTTCTGTAGCTACCATTTTAGCCAATTGCGTTTTTCAGTTGAGAATTCTCCGTCAATAACCTTCAGGCCCATAATCCAAAAATGAGACTTGTTCTTCAGGATTACGTTTATTCAAGGATTGCTGCTGATTAGTACGAAAACCATGAAACGCTAACGTCAGACAGTTCCAATTTCAAAGCAATTATTCATTAAAAAATGGGATTTAATGGAAATCAAAGAGTTTTTGTGTTTATACCAAAAGTGATTAACAAGAAATAAATAAAAAACTTTGAATATATTTTTAGCCTACGAAAAATTAGTCAATTTTGATTTTCATCCTTATAATATTTTTTTATCATTTAAAATTTGAAGTTACTGCATTTAATCCATATAAAATGAATAAATTTTTCTTTTAGCCCATATACAAATGTTTTCTTTAATTTTTATCCTTAGAAAATTTGAAATTATTGTATTTTATCTCCAATATTCATAAAAATTTAAGGATTTAACAAAAATGCTTCCTTTAAACACACAGTTAATGAGTGAAACAAATATATAAAAAAAACAATAATTTCATATACTAAATCTAGTTTTTTTTTCAAAATAAAAAAATGAAACCAAAAATCATCAATTTACATAGTTAAAAACACATTTATGTCTTTCTTTTATGTTAAATATGACTTTGACCAACATGCTGTGATATGATTAATGGATAATTATTTTCCTAATTGTTAAAAATATTATTTGATAGTTCAAAATCATCATGCCATGCCACACGAATTTTTTCATGACACAACTTAGTATTCTTAGCATTCTCTCTTATAAATTGAAAAACTTGAATATCTGTCACGTAAGGAGTAATCGAGATTATAAATACTTGAACTCCTAAATAATTTCTTGTTGTCAAGGGTTATCTCAAATTCGTGTACACATATTAGGAGGTAATAATCACTTGAGTGAATATGAGTATCTTGAAAAAAATTTCTCTAGTTGCTAGGTGAAGAAAAATGGTATACTATCCCTTTGGCTTGCGGTGATTATTTTAGCCTAATATATGACGACAATTACGAGACATTTTATGAATCTAAACGTCAATCAACGCATTAACGATGCATTGGTCATTTTAATTAGGATAATACTATTATTTAAATAAACAAGTTATCACAACTCTCACTACTTTTTTGCATTCAATTGGAACCATCCATTTTATAACCTCGTGCCTTTGCCAGCTCTACTTTCTGCTTTGCGGAAACAGCACAAATTTTTGGTAGGCTGCAAATTTCATCACCATTGCCTCGTACGGAAAAGAATAAAAAGATAAAGACAATAATTCACTGGTGAACATAAGATACAACTTAGCAACTCACAATTTTTTTATTATTCCAAACAAAACATAATACAATAACAATACAGAATTACCTTGGTCCACCATTCCCTTACAAACCAAGACTTCTAGACCACATAGATACTTTAGTATCGGTTTTTACATAAATTAATAACAACCTTACCTTCTTATCCCCCAACCTATCATTTTTCATCTTATAAACAAAAAAGAAAGAAAGAAGAAATAAAGACAAGGAAGTGAAGTTATTGTTCTCCGCTTAGTTTTGTTTAAAAACTATAGGGGCAGCTTAATATTAAAAGGAGAAATTGATCATGTCGGTGCTCAAACTTTCCATCATGACATTCTCCATGAATCCACACTTGTAAGGAGCAGTTTTCTTGAAGCTCTGGCCACGAGGCTTGAAAGAGCAAGAAGAAATAGGAATGATGGGGATATTGTCACAGTTGCAGAGCTCAATCATGTAGCCATCAGGGTCATGGAAGAACACCTGGTCCACCTTGATCCCTCCTTCCTCTACCACAGCTGTCACATACCTCATTCCCCTCTCTTCTAGCCTTTTCTTAACAAGCTCAACATCAGTGCACTGTTCAAAATCAAAGCATTCTGGTCATGATCCATGTCAACATTTCATAAATGCAACTAGAACAGGAGTTATGAAAAATCTGGAAATTTTATGTTCTATAACAATCTAATACTTATACTTAGTAATTATATTATTAGTGTGAATTAATTATTAATTTTGTCGGTAATTAATTTATGTCACAAAATTTATCTGATTGTCTTTAATAAGTCTTTTTTTAATTATATATATAAATACATATATATATATATATATATATATTTTATTATTTATAAAGTTTGAATAGAATCTATAAATTTTATGTTCCATAACAATTTAATACTTATACTTATTTATTATATTATTAGTGCGAAATAGTTATCAATTTTGTAATTTAATTTATGTCACAAAATTTATTTGATTATCTTTAATAAGTCTTTTTTAATTTTTTTTTTTTTTCATTCATAGAGTTTGAACCTAAGATCTTGCTTTAGAAAATTTAATGATTTATTGATACTTATATTATAAATTAATTAATTTTTTTCCTACATTTTAATTTAAGGGAATCATTTGAAATTATAAACAACTTAATCTCTTTATGGCTTATATTTTAAATTCAAATATGAAATTTATTAGGATAAATTACAAAGAAACTAATTTTTAATAAGCTAAAAATAGCTTACAAAAGTTATAACCAGGTTTCATAAATTCAAATAAGTTTCTTATAAACTTTTTAAACGTATCATCAGCAGCCTAATTACCTGGAATGAGATATGGTTGTCCTTGGGATTAATAGGCCTCGATTCATTGACGCAGGTATCAAATTCATCGATGTGTGGATTCTCGATCAAGTGTATTCCAACACCATAATTGTAAAACCTACAAAAGGAAATAATGTAACACATGAGTATCCTTTGTAACAAGATATTGGATATAGAATGAAGAGGAGGTAGGTGATATATAATGAAGCTAACCATGCTCCAGTGAAATTGAAAGAAGAAGGGCGTTTGATAGGAACAAAGCCCAAGACATCCTCATAAAACCTCATAGACTCCCACACTGATCTGCACAAAAGGGACACGTGATTGAGTGAAAGCAGGGGAAGTGCTTGTGCTCCACCAACTTCCTCAATCTCCATCTTCATATTCTCAATCAAGCACCTACACTTTCTCTTGTGTCAACTTTTGCACTGAATGCCATTGGCTAAGCCAAGATGGTTCTTATATACATGCAACGTGAATTTTGTAAAACATTACCAACATTATACTTGTCACGTCAGCAGGAACCTTCCAGGAAGGTTCTTTTCATGGAAGGCCTAAGTGGCATACTAGAATTAAGCCTTGTTTTTCATTGTGTACGTGTGTGTTTGTTTGTTCCGAGAAAATGTTTAGAATTAGCTTTTGAAAGAACGTTAAGAGCGTTGTAATTGGAAGAATGGTGTAGTCAGTGATTTAAAACTCGGATCCGGCCGGTCGGACTGGTTGGACCAGGAATCGGTGGTTCAGCCAATTCGAATCTTAAGTTGGATCGGTTATGTAGTCGACCCGTTTCGAACTAGATTGAACCGACTAATTTTCCGGTTCAATCGGTGAACCGGTAGGTCAAACCGGTTCAACCACTTTCTTTTCTTTTTTTTTAAATTTTTTTAAAGGACCATAAATCACAAAAATATATATTATTAAATATAACAATGACTACTTGTTCTAATGTATTTGTTTGCAATATATATAACTTAAATAACTTTTATAGTATATTATTAATTTTTAATTATATATTTAATAATATAATATCTATGTAGATATTACATGTATTATTTTGTAATATCAATTGCAAGCATATTATATATGTACATATTATTTATATTTTTAATTTGTATTAATATACAGTTTATCATATAAATTTTTATGTATTTTTTTACAAAATAAAAATAAAAATAATTTTAAATAAGATAAAAAAATTTAAATTTAAAATAAGATATGAATTTATTAAAATTTATAAGTATAAAATATATTTAGGCTTAAATATGTTTTTAGTCCCTCAAATTTAAGACAAATTTATTTTTGGTCTCTCAAATTTAAAACTGTTATTTTTAGTCCATGTAATTATCAAAAATCTTGTTTTAGTCCCTTAGGTCACCAATAACATATTTGAAAGTGACTAATTAAGAATGTTATGCAATATCAAACGGATTTAATGTGATATTTTTACTAATAGGGACACCAATAGGTAGATTTTATCAAATAATGTTTGATAAATTTCTTAACAAAATTTGAATATAAGGATTAAAATAAGATTATTTGAAATTACAGGGACTAAAAATAACAATTTTAAATTTGAGAGATCAAAAACAGATTTATTATAAATTTGATGGACTAAAAACATATTTAAGCCATATATTTAATATGAATATTTTTTAATAAAAATTGAGTCATGCAATTTAATTAATAACTTACTGATTTAACTTTTGACCATTTGACTTAATACCTTAATTGATTCGATGATGGTCCGGTTTTTAAAATTACAGGTGTAGTGTAGTTGCCTAGCTGGGCAAGTGAGGAGAGTAGACTGCACAAAGTACAAGGATGAAAATGTTGAGAAATTTCTGAGATGCTTCCCTGCACAAATTTGACGTTTTCTAGTGCGTCTTCCTAGTAACGTAGCTTGCTCTGTTCTGTACGGAACCGATATTTCCTCTGCATAACCGCATATGATGTACACTTGAATGGGGACATCAGCACGAGCAACTTAGGAAATCTTTTGTCTGTTTTTTTCCTTTTAAGATTAACATTAGCCTCTTGGGATATTTGTGTGTTCAGAATTTGTATATGCACCAGCACGATATACGTAAAAAAATAAAAATAAAAAGATAAAATACGAGTTTAATAGCTATTAACGTTTCTACTTTATTCTAACTACTTTTATTATAAGATCATCTATAAATGTTCGATGTTACAAAGATATTCAACTTTTAACATGAGGGAATGAGAGAATGTGTTGAGAATCTACATTGACCTGTTGTATGACATTAAAATATATAATTAAGAAAAATATTCTCATTTATAAAATTGAGTTAAATTTAATTCTATAGAGATTAATAAAAAAATTACCATTAATATGATTTTTTAGTTAATCATTCTAAGAGTTAAAATTTATCATATATTATTATCTATCGTTAATAATAAAAATGAGATTTCGTACTCTATTAAAAAATAAAATAAATAAATAATTAATATATTCTTATTTCACTTTTTCTGCATTAAAAAAATTAAAATAATCATTTTGTGAACAATTGCTTTTATATTTTAGAGTAAAATGAACAAAAAAAATATACAAATAAAGAACAAAATAATCTATATAAAAATGAAAACACAAAAACGATTATCAAAAAGAGCATTTTTACATATAGTATATAAATATATTGTGATTAGGTGAATCATTAGAGTTTATATAGTTGTGAAAGTTAAGATAAAATGAACAAGATTTTAAATTTGAATTTTAATGTTATTATTATAATTTTGATAAATAAATAAATATAATAATTAAGTAGTTATTATACGACTCAATGTATTTATTATACATGTACATTTTTCTTATAGACTTACAGCGTATCTGTATAAAAGTTAAAAGATATGTCTTTACTTTTCTAAATATATGTTCTTTCCATATATTTAATATACTAAAACAATATATTGCATCATTTTCTAAGATAATATAATAATTTAAAAAAATATAATTCAACATATTTTATTATTTAAATAATTCATATTTTATTTAATATTACATATAATCATCTTTTATTTTATTCATATCCATGCACTTTAAGATACTTCTTCTAAAATTAAAGGAAATAACAAAAGTGGTCTTACTTTCATTGTATAAAAAATATTTTACTAATTCAAGACAAGCGAAACATAAAAATAATGTAGGAATTTTGCCATTCACATGTTACTTTTAGAAACAAATAGACTAATATTCAGAAGCATTTAAAAATAAATAAATAAATAACATATTATATGTTGTGTTTGTTCCTCTTTCCTTTGTCTTCTTGGTCGGGCCCTCTTTCCATGGGCGAGTGGGCATGTATGGGAAGGTAGGATAGCAGCATGGCTTGCAAGAATCAATAGGGCTTTTTCTTTTGTGGTCCAAAGAATCAACAACACTTAATACACTTGTTTCTACCCTCATTCATATGCTCAACCCTTTATTCAATCCAATATTTAGGATCTTGGACTAATAATTTGTGAGCCCACAATATAACAATAACATGTACAAAATCCTATCTGAAGTAGTATAGTCAACAGCCGATCCATTTAAAATAAAACGTATCAGTATTTGTCAAGGCGAAAGGTTTCATATTATTTTATTAATCAAATTGTGTTAGTGCAATAAATCGTTTCCGTATTAAGTTGTGCTTTGAAACATAACCCTTTCTTTTTTTTAAATGATTACCCCATTTTGATTAAATAAAAAAGGTGTTTATATAAATAAATAAATAGTTACATACACATAAATAATTATATATATAAATATAATACTGCATTTTATAAAAAAGAAAATTCAAATTTCACGTCGGCTAGAAATAAAAATGAAAAATTTATAGAACGAGAGAACTTTTATCTTATACAAGGCTCACTCAAGAATAAGGTCAACAAGGCATTTGTTTTAAACTTTTTTGAAAAATTATTTTACATTAATATTTTATATATTTCTTTTCAAGGTATATATTTAAAATATTTTTATTTTTAATTAAAATATTATTATTAATTCTAAAAAACTTTATTTTAATATTTATTTTAAGTTTAACGATGTATTAAGTTAACCTGACCTTATAAGTTGATTTTGTAAGGTTAATTTAGGTTCGAAACTACATTTTAAGATGATATAAGAATTATCATATATTCATCATAAAAAGAGTTACCCATTATTGATATACACCAAGTCTAATAGTGTTAAGTTGAAGATACATTAAAAAAGATCTCAAATATTCTACATCTTAGATTATTAAAAAGAATTATTCACTAATTATCTTATATACATGACAAATCTAATATTAAGTAAAAAAAAACTCATTTTATGTATGGATTAAAAATATGACATAAATGAGAGCAATTTTTATTTTATAAAATTAAGTCTAAACTTATTTTATAAGACATTTAATTTTATTTAAAAAAATTATTTTAATATATTAAGGATTTGTTTGAATAAAAGTTATAAAATTATTTTAAAAGTTTATTCACTGAAAAGAATAAAATCATTTTTTTTATCTATATATAATGAAATTAGTTGAATTTAAGTCGATAAAAAAATGATTATTGGTCTACATATGTTAAAAATAATTGATCTTATGATGTTGTTGGAGGAGGTGAAGTTTGACAGATTAGGCAAGGCAATGGGGCAGAGGGTAGGCTGGCCTCTTCATTGATGAAATGACATTTTGTCAACTCAACCTCTGGCACACCATATGCTAATGGTGCACTTTCCTAAACTTTATTCCTTAAAAATTTTAAATAATAGTATACAATTACGTGGCCTCGTTCTCATTAATTTATGCATGTTTTGGTGATTTTTTCAAATTCGTTGCTATTTTATGAACTCAACTCAACGGGGGCAAGCGTGATAAGCGCACAGCACTTTATTTGCGCTCTTCAACCATTCATAGTTATATACACGTTCTTAGAGTTTCGGGCATTTAAGAATCGATTCATAGCATTTCATATTGTTAAAAAAAAAATTGGAACATATGACAGTTTAGGTTGTTTTTTTCTTTTTCTTTTTCTTTTTTTAAAAGATTACTCAAATTGAAACTTAAAATTAAAATTAAAAAACTGTTATTTTAGTCGATTAAGGATGTGTTTGTATTATTGTCATGTTCCGTTCAACACTAAAATATTGTGAGAGAGAAGTTTCGTTCAACATGTTTTGGAATTCGAGAATCGAATAAAACAAACATGTATTAATTATCTTCCTCAAATTATTATTTTAAAATTATAAATGTCTCCATTGAAAAATAAAAATAAAAAACAAAACAAAATATATATATATATATATATATATATATATAATTTTGAGAAAAAACAATGCGCGCGCACTATGTTGAGTACACAAGAAACAAAC